CGAGGGTGTTACAAATTGATTTCTATATCGCCGGATGGTCAATTAGTATAATAAAGAGGAAAGAACAATAACACTGTTTATCTGTAAGAGGTATTAGGATAACTATCTAATGGGGATGGTGATCTGGATGGGTGGGGGGTGGGTGGGTGATTGGGTTAGGGACGTCACTGGGTTTTGTTTCTTTCTTTAGTTTTTGTGCTGTTTTTGTACTGTATTGCATTTTATGTTATTGATTGTACCATTTGTTTAATAAATAATTTTTAAAAAATCGATCACAAAAAAAACTAATGCCATTTCCTGCAACCAGAGCTAAAATAAGGTTATTTTCATTTTTGGGCCAGCAGTTTTCTTAAGATACAACATGTACAGCTCTCCGCAGTTATTCCCTAATACAAAGTCCCGGAGCAGTCAGTGGCCCTGCTGACAGGCTGAAACCTGACAGAGGCGCAGGGCAGAGGCGCTGTCAGAGGCTGACGACTGTCACAGGAAAACAAACAAATACCATCACTTACACTCACTACACTTCAAGGTTTTCACGTCAACCAAAAACTGCAAATACAAAAACAATAACACACAATTTAAGAGGTAAATTCACTATGTATTACTTTTTTGATGCAGGCTGCAGCTTAACATTAGTAGACAATATAGATGTTTTCTTAATTTGAGAAAGTTCAGCTTTTTCCACAAAAGCTACTAATAAGCCATATTATATTGGCTATATTTATTTGTTACACTAACAGACATTTTTCTGTGTGTGTGAGCATGAATTACATGTTTTGTTTGAATTAAAGCACAGGAAACAGAATCAATTAGCAATTCTTAAATGCATTTTAATTTCCTCTTTACTACTACAACAACAACAACAACAACAACAACCTACTGTTATCTCAATGTATTGTACATCATCCAGCAGGTGCTCGGATCAAACTTGTACTTAGGCTCTTTATATAAATAAGTGTATAATTATCTATCTATCTATCTCTACTGTACGTAGTGGGTATTCCCTAACTGAATGCATCGTAGCTAACTTCCTGCCTCAAGCGATGGGGTTAAAAGAAAACTAGGTGCTGAAAGATTGAGGTTATTTCAACATCTGGCTGACGCCCCCACATGCAGAGACTTCACCTAAAGTGTAAACAACAACACATGGTAAACACACTGCGAGAGAGTTTGACAGACAGACAGACAGTGAGGTTATGAAGTTAAATATAACTATCTTCCAGTCAAAGAATCGACATGTCATTTAATACAAATTAATTAATTAAATAAAACTCAGTGCATTATTCTAAATCCATCAAAATGTTTCAAACAGATGGGAGCATCCAAAGAGATACTTTTTTTCTTTTTTTTTTCTGACCACATTAAATACAAAAAGATCAGAAACAACACAGCACTAGCATGTCTGACTCCATGACAGTTTTGTCCATGCATCAAACCATCTCCGAAATGTATCTCTTATCTTCCCACCTTTGTTATATGAGGTATGAGGTGGAGGTTTTTTACCAACAGTTATGAGTATCAGCATCAGTCCTTTCAAAATTCAAAGCCAGTCGTCAAAGCCAGACGGCAGGAAGGACTCAAACGCAAAAAGCAAACAAAGCTACAAGAGAACAAGGAGCAATGACTAAAGGGAAAAAAAAAAGTGTATTTTGTTCAGCATCTCAGGACACACTAGCTTGCTCAATCTTCCACTTCTGTTGTGTCCGCCACGCATATAAGGCTCCATATACAACTGTTTGAATTTTTATGTGTTCCTATTTCATGTTTGTTTGCTAAAAAACTCAAACAAGCAGGGCAAGGGGAATCTCACGGCTGAATGAAGAGAATCCAACTCGCTGGCTCAACAGATCCAGGCCGTACTCTCTCCTGACAATAAACTCATATCCATATTTTTAAGGGTGATACACAGATAACCACACACACACCCACACCCACCCACACCCACACCCACACCCACCCACACACACACACACACACACACACCTTAGGATAGAGTCTAGTTGCCAGCAGTGTGAACAACTCAAAAATGTTCCAAATCAGCCAAGCCACTGTTTGACTATTGTCCCCATAGGCTATGATGAATAAATGCTAATTAGCGCAACATATTCAAGTTAGCATCCGGCCGTTTCTATGTGCTGGGGACCCGTATTATACATTTCTATCATAAAACATTTGTGTACTCAACATTTATGGGTTCAAAACAGGACTTGACTAATACACACTCATCCATACACACTTCAACACGTACATTCACAAGCAGATGTAAACAGGTTCATAATCCTCACACACACATAGATATATATATATATGTACACACATAAACAAACACATACTCGACATCCACCCAACATAATCCTCTGATACCATTGTTTTGGATTTCACCCAGCACGAAACGAGATAAATTCTCTAAATTGAGCGCTAAGCTGTGTGGAGGAAAACCTTCAGCTAATATGTTGAATCTTAAACAGCTCAAACAGAAGCACAATGCTCAGTAATCTGCAAATCACCCTGTTATTATTTCATCCATGTGTTTAATTCACTTAAAAAGGCTAAGTGGGTGGAAATTAGTGAAGGTGAGCGAAAGAGAAAAGGAGGAATACAATTATTCCAAAAGTTCTGCTTGCATGTATATATTCACAAAGTGTTGAACGGATGAAAAGTGCAAATGGTTTGTAACAAACAAATCCTGGTAAACAAACAAAAAAGCCATCATCAGCAAACCTGAACCTGAAAAAGATGGCCAAGCTGCTATCTCTCGCAAGCAGAAGGAGGTACAAACACTCAGCGTCTGTTCAAAGGCAGAGTAAATATTAGCCGGGCCGCGGACAAAATAAAGAAGGTCCATAGAAGAGAAGGTCAAAAAGCATATCCTCTCTTAAAGCCCGACGCGGATAAACAAAATGTGGCAACACGGGCGCATTATGTGTGAGAGGAAGTTTTTTTTTGTGTGAGACACTTCCCGTGGTCTTTCATCAACTTTAAGAGGTGAAGTGATTGGGCCTCTCGCAAGTGATTGGAGCAACACTCAGCAGGCCGCTTACAAATTTAAAAAATGAGGAAAATAGAGACATTTAGAAAGAAAGAGCGAGAAAATACAGGCACGGATTAAAATACAAAACTATTTCCTGTGCGAAACTAACAATTACGTTTGTTGCATTTATGGAAAGTAGAGATGTACTGTTTGTTATATTGCATTGTGTCCCTCATGTGATGTACATTCTGTTCATTTCTGCTGACATTTTGGGAGCGTGAATGGAGTCGATCTCTGTTCAGATCAGTGTGTGTGGCTCTGGAGCAGATGGCTGGGCACGGGGCTTCACTCTGGCGGATCATTTCAGAGTTTCGGATATCCTTTTGATAGGAAATGCTTTACACTTGGAGAAGATCACAACAAGATTAAAGTATTTCATTTTAGATCCGGGCGAACCAAAATCTACATTTTCTGTGTAGGTGCAGTGTGCGAAAAAGCAATTATGTCCCGTGATGTTCCACCACAACCTCAATCTTCCTTCAGAAGAACCGTTAGGCCTTTTGCAGCATACATGTATGCCCCAACTGTGTTGCTCTGTGCCACTGTATTTATTTGTTTTTTACAGTTCTGTAAGTTCACATTATTTACAATTTGTTTAGTTAATTTGTTTTTTTTTCTCTCAAAAGAACAGATAAGAGTGCCGTTAAAGGACCGGATCGATAAGCGGTATCGATAAAAGTAGTAGTACCGTTAAAACGATACCCATCCCTATGTGTGATGCAGTAAAATCTTACCGCTCACTTAAGTAAGGAGTGTCGTAAAACCGTGGGAAAATGTCAAATACGATGCCGAAGAAGAAGATTCCAGTGGCCCCGAGAGGAAGATTCTTATATAGCATGTTTATTGCCAAATATGAACAAATGACATTACATTACATTTAGCTGACGCTTTTATCCAAAGCGACTTACAATAAGTGCGTTCGACCAAGAAGATACAAACTTGAAGAAAACAGAATCATATAAGTACATCAGGTTTCATAGAGCCAAAACATGTCAAGTGCAACTCAACTGGCTTTAGATAATCCAGTCCTTAGTTAGTATATAAGTGCTTTTTATTTTGTTTTGTTTTAAAATGAACAATAAAATGTTCCCTTAGTTACAGTCACCCAGATTCTTGTATGCTTTATGTTGATATTTAATCATATTTAAAATAGGTGCAGCATGCACAAAGTATAGCTATGGACAAGTGAAATATTTATTCGGACAAGTACATTGCCAAACTCACAAGTACTCTCTAAAAACTGTTTCTTACACTGAGGTGTAAATGTGGCTGCGATGGTTGTTCTCAACACTTATTTCTTCAGGGAATGTAGAGTGAGCATGGATGTTCTTTCGCAGAAGCACGCTGCTTCATGTCAATACGCCCACACACACACACACACACACACACACACACACACACACACACACACACACACACACACACACACACACACACACACACACACACACACACACACACACACACACACACCCACCCACACCCACACCCACACACACACACACACACACACCTACCTCGGATCTGTCTGCAGTCAACAGCAGTCCAAATCTATTGACCTCTGAGCAGCTCATTTAGAAGAAGAACCTGAGGACTTGGCTCAAAGGCAATACAATCTCAAAATCCGAGGCAGAGGAGGGTTTTATATATATATTCATTTTGCCCTGTATTACAACTACTGCAAGTCCTTTTAATAATATACATTTCAACCATAGTAACACAGCTTTTCTAAAAGACAGGATTTTGATATCGATATCCTAGGAATTCACTGCTTTTGGTTGAAACATAATACAGGAATTACATTAAATAAACAAAATATAATGTTTAAATTCATGAGCTTTAGAGTTGCTTGTCTTACCTTTAGACAGAGCCAGGCCTCCCCCTGCTTTAAGTCCCCCTGCTAAAATCTAATGTTCGACAGGAATGAATCACCTATGTATGAATATATGAGTTTGTAAAGTTTACCTGCAACTGTCGTCTCTGAATTTCCTCCACCATGATTGCGAGACACTTGGTGAAGTCTGTTAGATCCTGGTCAGCTGTTTCTATCAGCTTGCACCCCTGCGCACAAAGAAAAATGGAAACACAGGCATCAACAAAACACAAATCAGATGGATGTACATATACGTAGATAACAAAACCCAGGCAGAGATAAGGGATAGGGGATGGAGAGAGGTATAAATCAGTGTTTTAGTCTGGCTGTCTGACGCTGTGTTGCTGAATAATGTAGAGGTTCCAGTCACTGGCCCTAAACTACAGCATGCAGGTAAACAACCATGCTCTGCGTCTGTCTCCTTCCCTCTCCATATACTGTCACTTTCCTCCTGAAACACACCAACTTTACAATTACACACCCGCTCTCTTCCTCCATCCCTGCCTCCCCTCCTCTCTCGCCTTCCCTTGCCGATGTTTTCCGTTTCTCTCTCTTCCATTTATGCAGAATTATTCACCGTTTCCGACAAATCTCTGAAGGACCGCCTCAAACTTTCACATTGTTCTGCGCCTTAAGCATTACCATAAAATTCTGTTCTCTCACGGAAAAAAGGTATTTCTCTTCTTTCTTTTTTTAAGACAACCTGTATGACATTTGTGAAAAAATACTTTTATTACAGATGGCTGCAGAGAAAGCGGGGAACGGCGAGAGAGGAACAAAAGGTGCCTCGATGAAGGCCACCCATATCTCTGTGTTTGTATGTACGTCGTGTGTGTGCTAGTGTGTGCATGGTGAAGTATAGGATCCGCACTTTAAACTGTATGCATTGGGTTTTAAAGCAAGGCTGATCACAGTAAAGCAACAAGGAGAACATACAGAAGCTAGTTTGTATTTCCTCTTCCTTAGGTGAATTGAATAGAGCCTCATCTCGTCCACTCAATAATTTGCATTTTATAGTCATGACCTTGGACAATGGTGAGATGTCATAGGAAAACTATGTAAGATGTCATAGGAAAACTCTAGATTGTTGAGGTATACTTCAGATAAAATACATTAACATCTTACGTTCAAAATGTATTTCAGTCTCAGAAAATTGCTGTTAAAGGTACAAAAAAATAGGCAAAAACAAAATAAAAAGGTTGCTAAATAACCATAGTCTTGCACTGTAAATCAGATTATTTTTGTATAATCTTTTATCTTATAAAATGATCTGAGGGAAAGGTTAATACTGTACCTCGAACATCTAAAAACTGCATTGATCTGTAGTTAAAGGTGAAGCGGCGCCTCCTGCCTGTGTTACCACTCCTAACAAGCTCCACTATTACATTTGTGCTCAAATGTAAGAGGATTGATGCGAAGTTGAAAGCTCAAAAGGGAATTTGTCTTTGAACATGATTGATGGGATTAATATATATTATTTGTTCAGGTAAAAGTTAGCCTGTTCCTGTTTCAGCAGGGGGTGAATTATACCTGTAAGCTGCGACTCGGACCACCTCCAGACCTACCTTTAGAGGACTGGGTCTAAATGCACCTTGAGTGCACTAACAGTTGAAGCCATGTCATACTAAGCACCGGTTCCTACTTTCATGATTCAGTCTGCATGTTCATGCCGCTGCAGGTGGAACACACGAGCCATTAAACCCCAGTTAACTCTGTATAGTCACTTATCCACTCAGGCAGCCCGACGTCAGCACCGAAACCCTGCGACATTCCAAAAAGGAAATAATCCTCATCAATCTGGACAAAAAAGTTCAAACAATTTCAACTGAACTTCCTACGTTGCAACCTGGCCTTTTAAATAACTGACCCATATGTGTACTCAGACAATACTTGTATTTAATCAGCCCATTAAATAATCAAGCATATGCCACGATTATTCAGAAATGGAGGAGAGAATGCGTTTCCTTACTAACAAGTCACTTTTACAACTAAATCACCAGCTACTACTTGTATATCATTGTTAACTTTAAGGCAGCAGCATTCTGAAATCAAAGCCGTGCTCCAGTCAATTATACTGCTTTCCAGTACTGCACTGTAAGAAGATGTCTTTGTAGTCATTTTCACTCGAAGTTTGCATCAGATAGGGAATTTTGTTGTTGAATGGCAGAGATCACACAACAGTCCATCTTGTCAGGCTTCAAAAAATGTTTCTCCTGGAAATAAGCGTCCTATAATGAGCTACAGGTAGATACAGGCGTGGTTCAGGTGTGTTTGATGTTTAGTGGATAAACCATGAAACAGAAAAGTCTTCCCCTTTGTGGAGTACAGCGCAAATCCTCAATGCATTTTTAAAAAGTCGACTTCTTACAAGTTACTTACACATCAAGGTGGGTTAGGAGTCAAGTCAGGCTGAAGACAGAAGAGTTATTCAGTCCTATTACTTTGTGTTTGTCTGTATGTGTGTACACCTGTAGGCATGAGAGGTTGTGTGCCACTCACCTTGTCTGCATAGAAGGCTTTGACCTCGGCAGTAATGGAATCAAAATCCCCACTGATATAGTCGGGGAGGAAGCTGGATGTGAGGAGAGAAAGAGAGGGTGAGTGACAGAGGGAGAGGGTTACGATCGCAAGAAAGACAGAGAGAGTGAAGCAGAGATAGAAAAGAGAAGGGGAGAGAGGACATCAGGGCATGTGTCAGCTCTCTGATCTGTGCAGCGAGGGAGAGGGGGAGCCGGGGGGGAGACGGAGAGACATGGAGACTGACAGGGTGATTCTCTGTGGCACTCTGTGTCACACACACACACACACACACACACACACACGGCTGACTGCAGAGATACATAGAGTGATGTGAATGCACACATACATATGCACAACCAATCTCTCACACACACACACACACACACACACACACACACACACACACACACACACACACACACACACACACACACACACACACACACACACACACACACACACACACACACACACACACACACACACAAATAAACAGAGCATGATGTTCCGGGTGCTCATCAGATATCCTACTTTTCCATTACGCTGAGTGACTACATTCTCCATTAGAGCCGAATATCTGTGTGATTACTACAGGTCAAACTAAAATGTGATGTTTTTAAAAACACACCCAATAAATGCAGAATCCTGTAGGAGTAAATGCTGAATTATGGTGCTATAGATAACATGTTTTATTTAATTAACTGACACAGGAAGTAAAGACAATGTTGATGTGTGTACATTCACAAAAACAATATGATGGCAATACTTTCTGGAACATTTGAAAAAATAATGAATGCTATTATTCAAATTCATCTTTAACCTTGTTGTTGTGCATTTTGTGTCTTTTTTGGAATATAATTATATGTAAAAATACTGAGATGGAGAGAGAATCTAATAATAATTGCTAGTGGAAAGTGCAAAAGGCAAACAGATGAACTAGTAATCAAAAGATCCACATTATTTTATTTAAATGTTTTAAATGCGACAGTTATTGTCAGAAGCAAAATATAGTGATAAACGTAACTAAACAGTACGACAACTCACCTCAAATACTGTTAGCCAATTTCATAAAGTGTCCATAAGTCAAACTATTTCTGAGTTAAAATATGCATTTACCGTAGTTGTTCTGGAGGAGGAAATCAACCTGAACTGTACATTTTAAAAGCTTGCTGTTTGCTTATATACGGCCAATGTACATGCATAACATTTGTATACCTAATTAAAACATCAGAAATATATCAACACTGCCCAGTTTATGACTCACATAACCCAGAATTGCCTCTCAGAAAACAGGCTCAATAATCCTAGAATACATAAAACATATTACACAAACCAGGCAGAAATACTGCGTTAATACATGCAATTAAGAGGATTACAACCACAAAATGTAACTGGGCACGAGGTTTGGGAATAAACGTGCATGCAGGCGTTGCATTGTGAATACAAATTTCCATATGAACTTCATCCAAATACAACTATGTTTTGAGGCAGGCTGCATCCCCAGGGTGTGTGAATTAACATGGTCTGTAGCAGATATCAGAGAAAACCTCCAAAAATCTACTAGCGAGCCACAACTGAGGAGAATAATATCATCAGAGAGAGCCAGATAGCTCCCTGTTTATTCCATGTGTGTGTGTGTGTGTGTGTGTGTGTGTGTGTGTGTGTGTGTGTGTGTGTGTGTGTGTGTGTGTGTGTGTGTGTGTGTGTGTGTGTGTGTGTGTGTGTGTCGTAGACGTACGCGACGACGACGACGAGGAGGAGAGAAGACTTTACAAATTTCGAGGACTGAGAGTTAGTAAACGAGTTGAAAAATCGTCTTTATCAAAAAGAAAACTTTGGTGAAAGAAAAGTTGAACGAATAAGGGAATCAAAAAAATTTCCTCTGGATAGTACGATATATTTACTATATAACATCCATGGTATGTATATATTGCCTATAAATATGAAAGACAAAAGTTTATGGTTTGTCTAGTACGTAAAATCGGTACGGAGTAAGCGAGATAAACGACAAGAGGTCGGGACAAAAACGTCCCACGCTAAAGACACTCGCGTCCGACTGGTGCGGGGGACGTCCTCTCCCCCTCGCACGAGACTAGTTTCAGTCTTCTCCCCCTCTTTTTATCTAGAGGCAGGAGGCACAAAATAATATAATAATCATATCTCAGCCAATAAGTAAAGAAAATTTCGAGTTATTTATTGTTTCTTTCTGGAGACTAGGCCGTGAAAAGATTAAACAGGCCTTCTACAGTTGAAATTGCCCGTAGAACCTGGCCGCTTTCTTTGACTTTAGACGACGTGCCAGGAGCAAGGAACTTCTCCGCCTCTCCACCCGACAAACAGTAGACCGACCACCTGACTGGCCCTCCTCTTAATGTCACCGAACGGAGATGCCCCTCCCAACGTAACTTAGATGTCGTCGCCCCTCGTTTACGAACTTCCCCGTCCTTTACCGTCTTCCCGTTGGGTACGGCGACCTTCAGAAGAAAACGACGAAAACGCCGTCTAGATGTCGCGGTGAATGTCGGACCCGTATACATGATACGCAGAGGTCGCGAAAGCCTCGCCGTTACCGGCCGGCACCGGGTTGGGGGGTAAGGGGACTATCCACCTCTCAACCGGGTTATCGGCATCGCGGTGACAGGACTGCAGTCCTGTCACAAGTTTAGACCTAGTCAGACATAGTCTAGCAAGTCGGGGAAAAAATCTTTACACCCATCCTCCTTTCTCTCTTCCAACACAAAAGACTGTGAACCACTCAAGGGACCTTGTGGCCCCCTGTGCATAAGTACATCTTTTCTGCATGTTTTTCACGGTAAAAACGTACAACTATCCAGGGGAAATTCACAAAGTCGATTTGTTTGGGGAGAAACCTTATAATATTAGACTTGGGTACCATCGAAAACAAAGGCGGTTTTGATAGGAGAAAAAATTTACTGTATCAATGCAAATGGAACAGAAAGATCCTGAAAAAACCATAGGAGGTGTTTGGTCCCAGAACTTTGGATTTTGCCTAAGGACATGGGTACACATGGAAAAGCAAAGCGGTTTTGTATGGGAAAAAATAATTTCCTGACGAAGTTAAATACTAATGACGGCACAAAGTTTATAGTCTAATCGTAATCCGTACATCTTCTGCACATGTAGTCGTACGTCTTTTTAGGTCTAAAACACACCCTTAGACACGGAATTCAAGTTAGCAGTTTCAGTGCGTGTTATTAAAGAGGGGGGAGAATGATGGAGACTAAACCCTCTTCGCTGTCCTTGCCTCCTTATTAGTCTCGAAGTGATAGGAGTTCACTACTTGTCTGCTTGCTCTTTCGCTCTTCTCACAAACGCACGACCAAAGTCCTCACTACTTTTCTTTAACTCGTCGATCTCTTATGTTGCTTTGTAAATCAACATTAATTCACCGGTAATACCTTCCCACCACAGACGGCCTTTGTCTCTGCTTTCTTTCAAACTCTGTCACCACGCACTAAAACGATAAATTTTGAATTACTTCACCACCTAACTGCCTTTACGGAGTCATGTTTCTTATTCATTCATAACGCGTCTCGCCTTTTACCTCTGCTCTAACCTTCTTCACATAATCCGTCGTACCTCTCCCCCTTTCTCTACGCTCTCTCCGTCGTGTTCGTCCCGCCTACCTTTTTGTGTGTTTGTGTCCCTTCCAGTGTGTTCCGGTAGGGGCGGTGGCGCCCGAGTCTGTTTGACCGCCATTTTACAGATAAAGGGTCAAGTTTAATATTCACAGTGAATTATAATTACACCTTCACCTTTTGACAGTGGTGTTTGGGTGGTGGTGTTTGCCGCCGAGTGCGTTGTTTCTGGTGTGTATGTCTTAAATTTTTAGAGCGGACCAGTTAATGACACTCGGCTGCCTCAGTACGTGTGCCCCAGTGTTACCTCACACACAAACAACACACACAAACACACACACATAAATCGAGACTAGCCGTCACAGTGCGAGAAGGGTAGACCAGGTGATACTTCCAATAAAGCTTACCTCTACGGTTAGCAGGACATAATGTTCCCTCCCCTAACACACACACACTTGGACGCGGGTACAAACAACGTAATAACACACACACCACACACACACCGCACGCCACACACACACACACACACATGAAAGGGTCCACGGAAACTTACAAAACACTCCTTTTCCTTGTCAAAAATGTGTGTCGGTCCTATAGTTTAAAAAAACAGGTCCGCTCCCCAACACACCGACACACACCACACAACACACACACACACACACACAACACACAACACACACACCACACACACACACAACACACAACACACAACACACACAACACAACACAACACACACAACCACACACCACACACACACACACACACACAGTCATCTAACGTATGTAAGTGACAACACAAACAGACGACATAGAACAACCACATTTACCCTTGTGTCTCCTCTCTCCCTTATTAGGGAGACATAGAGAAAGAAGTTGGCTGACCTTGTAGCGAAGGAGCGGAGAACGACCGCTCGTATGTGTTTGTGTGTGTATGTTATGGTGTGTGAGTTACGTGTTGTGTGTGCGTTTGTTCGTGGGTGGTGAGTTTGTTGTACTTTAGCATTACGAGTCTGGACAATTACGGAGATCTATCCCTGGACGTAGGGACGCA